AACTCAATTTCCCTGTACAAGAACACGTGGGTAAATCGTGATGGGTTGACACAGTATGCGATTCCTCACCATCCATGATATAATTTCACACCCACCTCACGTTACCCCCTAAAGAGGGGTCCTCCGGTCGAGTACCACCGCTCTAAGGAACAGTCCCCGGCTCCAAAATATTTCTCACTCCGATCTCATCCATGAGCCTTAGCCACCGGAGCCAGATGACTTCCGTAGGACTTTTTGTGCGTGGTGGTGGTTCGTGAAGGACGCTGCTACTGGGCAGTTGGGAGGCAGTCGACCTCCAGCAACAACGGAAGACAATAGGAACGACGCTCACAACAATGAGCGGAGCGCCGGGTGGATAAAACGCAGCAAGTTGACACAGTAGGGGGTACAGCCAGTGCCGGATTATCCTCGTAGCACAAGTAGCTACATGTGTAGTAGTGTAGCGGCTACGCGTGTAGCGGCTACGCGCGTAGCTGCTACATGTCTAGTAGCTACATGTGTGGTGGTCATGATTGACACACATGCGCCACAACCAGGGAGAGGGGTAGAAACCGGTCCGGACCGGTCGGGCCAACGGCGGTTGGAACCCCTCTGAGGGGAGGGGGCTGGCAGGAGCTACGATCCCCCAGAGCCCCGCCCCTCAGGGAGGACGAGTATATAAGGCGGGTCCCTGAGAGCGCAAGTCAGTCCGTCTCAAGCCGAAGCCAGAAGCCTCCTGAAGAAGAAGAAGACCCTGGACCCCAAGCTGCTGACGTCCTTCTAAGGGCCGGGGCTCAGTGCAGTGGTCGTGGGGTTAGGACCCTGAGGTTCCCTCGGCCTGATGCCCTTGTGAGGGCCAGGTCCGGACGGGCCAGTGGTCAGGGACCCACCGGGCCAGCGGTGGGTCAGCCTCCCCTAGGTCTAGCCAGCCGGAGGGCTGAAGTAGGGAGAGCCGTAGGTACGATAGCCCGGAGGCTGTACCTCCCCAGGTTGTGAGTGAAAGGGGCCATTACCCCTTTGTGTTAGGGATTAGTGTAAACTGTTTGGTGAAATAAAGCGTGTTGCCTCTACTACGAGGACTCCGTCTCCCTTAAAGAACATTACACACATGTAGTAGCTACAACACGTGTAGTGGCTACAACACGTGTAGTGGCTATAACACGTGTAGTAGTTACGGGCCCCGCACTTTCAAGGGCCCCGTGCTAAATGCTTTCAAGCTATCAATGCCGGTTCAGTGATTCTGTACTTTCTCTATTACTATAGTACTATACCGCCTTCAACTTTTTAAGAACGACTGGGTGTTTAAGGTTAGCGATTTGGCATATTATCTGGCTGGATAGCAAATGAAAAAATGCAATTACTTTACTATGCAAGTAAAAAAATGTTTTCATATTTTTTAAAATGTCGGGCCCCCTTAATAACATGCTACAGGACCCGCACTAGCTTCATCCGGCACTTGGTACAGCTGGTGGTGCATCTGCCGGTCATCTCAGTCAGCCAAACCCATGGCACCTGCTGGGTCTGTCCCGAGACCTCCTCCTGTCAGCAGCGAGCCTTCGACACTTGAGAGACAGCCTCAAAGTGCACCTAGCCTGGCACAGGCGCCGTGGTGAATGGGGGGGGGGGTATTGGTGGTGTCGTTGGCTGCATGCAGGGAACGCCGTCTCCCTCCCATGTTAAGGTTCGAGGCCGTAGCACGAGAAGTCGGTGTGAAACCCACACCCATTGTGTGCATTGCTAAAGTCTCCCCTCCATCCATTCCAACTTACGAGTGAACATAGGCGTGGGGGTTGGGCGAAATGGTAAATATTCAATAACGATATCTACAATAAATAATACATTATAAAGCACTCTGTGCTTTTTGCTATCACAACAAACCCATTGTGACGTCACCGCGGGGTTCGATGTCGAGTTTGATCACGTGGTGCCACGTGGACAGCCTCGCTATCGGGTCTCGCGACACAAGACCAATCAATGTTCACGACTTGATGATCGATGTGATGTATTTCGTACGCCGAATTGTGGCATCGTCGTTTGCGATTTGCCGTACTCCCGGTAGCTGTAAACTTCGACTCAGAGGCTATTCGACCGCTGTTCACGCAACGTAATCCACTCATTTCTACTTGCCAAGCAACGATGCTTATATCGGAGAATTTTAATATATTAAGGTGACGATGAGTGGTGCGGAGGGTGGGGGGTGACATTTAAAATCGAGCCTTCTGACAGAGAAACGTTCTTACGTGGCTTATCCGGCTTTTCCAATTCACATTTAGAAATGTTGTCGTTGAGGAAATGACCAGCTTGAACATGAACTCAAACGTTTACCGTTTTGTTGATCGTTGAAATCTGTCCACTTTGACCGCACTCAATAAACCCAACAGCGGCACTTTGCGTCCGTGTCCTTGGGCATCTCCAACTCATTCCGCCACACACACACCACTCAAAATAACTCTCACGGCGCAAGCTACGAGTGATGTCTCTCAAACTCCCTCCTCCCCAGGGATCCGTGCTGCCAGGTCTGTGGCCCAGTTCAAGTCTAGGCCTTGCTTTATGCCTCTGCCCAACTGCGTTTGCCCAACAGTGGACAATGGTAGAGCCTTTGACAGGGATTTTTTTGTTTGACTTAAGCGGAGACTTAAAATTATCTCAACAAAACCGGACTCCCCGACAAGCCTTCGGCAGGGAGATCCAGTCCGGGGCCCTCGCAAACCAAGGCCTGGTGAGTTCCACAGTCCAGGTGCCTTGCAAGTGAAGCCCGGAGAGTTCCACAGTCCAGGTGCCATGAAAGCCAAGGGGCCCATAGATCACTGCTTTGTCCTGGAGTTTGCGTGTCTCTCTCCCCGTGGTCACATGATCCAATCGAGCTGACATTTTGCACACAGACTCGTTGTGCGTGACAATTTATTTTTCCAAAATTTTACAATGTTTAGGAAAAATATATATAATTACCAATTGCTTAATGGTGGCAGGCAATCACCTGACCCATAGGTGGCAGCCATCTCAAGCCAGAGGACGAGAGGACTCTAGCCGCCACGCATATAAAGGATTTATAGTGAAAAACTTTGTTTTTACGGGTTAATTTTTTCCCCTCCACATTTAGAATCAAAGTGCAGTTCAGAGTAGTTGGCTACTGCTGGACAGTTTCACAAGCCACTTCGTCGAGCTATTATCATTAGTGATAGCCGGGTGGTCGCATCTGAAAAAGAGCTGTACGGCTTGGTGGGCCTTACCTGGATAAAACACATTCCTGCGAAGGGAGCTGGTAGGAACGTTGGGTTGCACGGTCAATGGCCAGGGTCAACGGCGGTGTGGTGTATTCAGCAAATATGGCCGACTGAGGGCGGGCACATGCCGGCGTGAGTAGGTTAAACGTTGAGTTTTATAAGGGCACCACGGGGTGACCAGCCCCTCCCCACCCAGCCGCACCCCTCCCACCCAGCTCCTCCCTCCCCACCCAGCCCCTCCCTGCACGACGGACACAATAATCCCCTGTGGGCTGGTGGAACCAGTGGGTTCCTACCAGTAATAGTAATTTAGTGGCAGCAGAGCGATGTAGCAACGCAAGACCCACTTCCCTTACCAGAAATGTGGTTGTAAAGGAATGACCGCTCTAAAAAGTTTACCGTTTTATTGAAAAACGAAATCTCTGTACACGGGACAGGACTCGAACAAAAACACAACACGGGCACTTCATGTGGGTATCCATGGGTATCGCCAACTCATTCCGCCACGCACACACACAAACGCAATTCATACAAACCCTCACGGCGTACGCTACGAGGGACAACAACACACTGCCTCCCAGTCTCAAGCTCCCTCCTTTCTTCCAGACCCAGTTCAAGCCCAGGTCAAGGCCTTGCTTTATTTAATGCCTCCACCCACCAAGATGCAGGGTCTGCACGCTCCATGCGGGTTCGCTCTGTCCTATTGTGCGCTGTACATGCGCACAATTGCTCTGTGGGGATTGAATTCACTCTACACGTGGCTATGCGGTCGGACGTGGGACAACATTGTGTGTGTACTGTTCGTTTACTGTGTGTGTGCACGGTGTGTGTGCACGGTGTGTGTCGGGTGTGTGTACTGTATGTACTGTGAGTGTGTACTGTGTCCTGTATGTACTGTTTGTATACTGTGTGTATTGTATGTGTGCTGTGTATACGGTGCGTGTGTACCGTGCGTGTACTGTGCATGTAAAGTGCATGTGTACTGTGAACTGTATGCGTGGGTCACGTGCGCGCTGTGGTACCGAGTGGTTCGCAATGGAATGATATGGGGGGGGGGGCTGTCTAATTAACCCTCCCACCCGGCCCCCCCCCAGCACCGGCGCGCTTGGGCACCTCCAGCCAGTGGGGCTGGAGGGGTTGCAGTTCCATCGCGTTCACTCGGCAGCTGCGCGCACACTGCGCTATGGCGAGATGTTAACTACCTCGCTTGGTGTGCAGGAGGTCGTGGATTCCATCCCGACCCTGACGCCTGCTGCTGTATATTTGGAGTTTGCATGTCTCTCTTTCTTTCTCCCCGTGGTTGCGTGGATTTTTTTCCTCCGGGTTCTCTGGTTTTTTCTCTTCGCATTTAGAATCAACGCGTGTAAAAGTAATTGCCTGCTATAAATTCCCACTTCGTTCAGCTATCATTTGTGTGGCCAGGTCGCTTCTGAGAAAGAGCTATACAGCTCAGTGGGCCTTACCTGGTAAAATAATGGTTTCGTTTAGTACTATGGGTCTCTTTGCGAATCTGTGGGTCTCTCTGCAAGTCTCTGGGGTCTCTATGCGAGCCATCGGTGCCTTGCCTAGGACCATCCAACCGCTGGAACTCCTTAGAACAAAATATAACTCTGTCCACGTAAGAAGCCTCCCTCTGTGTCCCTACGCGAGCGTACGGATTCCTGCGTGTCTATGGCAGCGGCGCGGGCATGGATGACATGGGTCCTGGTTCCAGGAATTAAAAGGGCTTGCCCCCCCCTCCCCCAGCCAACGCCCAAACGTCTCCCTCTCCGTGTAACCCGGTGCTTGGACGCCCCCCCCCCGCCGCCCCCGTGGCACCGCCCGCACGCTCAACAGCTCCCCTTCACCGCAGCACCCTCTTGAGGAAGAGGTCGACGAGGTCGTGGAAGGCGTGCTCCCACGCGTCCGCCACGCCGCCCGCCGCGCCGGCGGAGCGTGACGTCGCTCGCCCACCGCCGCTGCCGCCGCCGCCGCCGCCCTTGGCCTGTAGGGAGACCCCCGCCGAGGTGCCGCCTGCACCGCCTGTCGCCGCTCCTCCGCTGCCGCCGCCGGCGCCGCTTCCACCGCCGCCGGCGCCCGGCGACACGGGGCTGCCTCTGCGCACCCAGCGCAGCATTCCGTTCTGCAGCGCCTCCTGGCACGCCACCGCGGCGGAGTGATACGGGAGAGATGAGGGGAGGGGGGTCAACGCAGGTAAGAATAGATCAGAATCTTGATTTATCCTGAAGGAATCCGATGAGCTACGAAGCAAATTGAAAACTAATTTCTTTAGAACTGCTTTTTGTGTTTAGTTTGTATTCATGTCTGTTGAACTTCTTTCGCACCGTACGTAGCCAACCGTGCGAATCGGAGGTGCGAGGGAAGGACAACAAACTAAACACAAAAAGCAGTTCTCAAGAAATTCGTTTTCAATCTGATTTAAAAGTGCATAGCGCCCAGTGGTTTCCCAATGTTGAAAGGGAAGAGCGTTCCAGACGGTCGCAGAAGCGCATCTGAAAGCGCCGCGCGATGCAGCGGTGATGACCGGAGTGTCGCGTGATGGTGGTGTATGCTCCTTGACGAGATCAGCGAGGTGTTGTGGTTCATTTGTGGCACGCACTTTATGGTTAATGAGCGCGACCTGAAATACATTTGTTTGGCAACCGGAGGCCAATGCAGCTCAGCGAGCCATGGACGTTGTCCTTCCCCCCCTGTCTCCACTTAGCTCGGTTCGCTACATCAGGTGAGAAATAACGTCAACAAAGACAAAGACCCCACCACCCCCCGTATCGCCTTAAGACTGTTGGGGCAAGTGCTGTTAGCGAGCACGTATGAAGGCCGGCACGGCACACGAGGGAGGTGGGTTCTAAGCGCAGCGCGCTAACTGCAACACTACCCCACACTACGCACATACACACGCACATGCATACACACACACGCACATGCATACGCACGCACGCACATGCATACGCATGCACGCACGCACGCACACGCACATGCACGCACACGCGCGCACGCACATGCATGCACACGCGCACGCATACGCGCACGCATGCACACACACGCACATGCATGCACACGCACGTACATGCATGCACACGCACGCACATACACACGCACGCACATGCATACACACGCACATGCATACACACGCACGCACGCACACAATGCACACCCATGCACACGTGCACATACAAACAGAACCGGCGATAACAAAACAAATCCCCTCTTCACCAGCTCGGAGCTGAGCTCGCGCTTGATGCGCTGCTTGTCGCGGCAGGAGACGGTGCAGTGCTTGAGGTAGAGCATGGCCTGCGACATGAGCAGCGCCAGCGCATTCTCCATCACGAACACCAGCGTGGGCCTGGGGGCAACGCAAAGACAAAACGTCCCACAATGTGTAGCCTCTAGCAGAGGTCGCAAACGGGTTTGATTCCTTACCCGTACGTACCCGGCCGCACCAGGGTCGCAAATGGGTATCCGTACCCGGCCGGGTACGGGTACCCGTTCCCTACCCGTACCCGTACCCTACCCGAAATGAGTGACAAACGGTTACTCACCAGTGACTCACGGCCTACCCCTACCCGGCCGCACCAGGGTCGCAAACGGCTACCCGTACCCGGCCGGGTACGGGTAGCCGGGTATCGGGTAGGGTACGGGTATCGGGTACCCGGTTGCGACCTCTGGGATGAAGCCATGTTGTAGGCGCGGGTGGGTTGATTCTAGGAAACTTGAATTGTGAGAAGAGACAAGACGGTGACTCACCAGTGACTCACGGCCTACCCGTACCCGTACCCGGCCGGGTACGGGTAGCCGGGTATCGGGTAGGGTACGGGTATCGGGTACCCGGTTGCGACCTCTGGCCTCTAGCAAGACTATTGGGGGCAAGCGCTGGCGGCGAACAGCAGCGGCGCCCGCGAAGGCTGGCATGGCTACGCGTGGGGGTGGGTGGCCAGCGCCACGCCTGGCCGCCTTTGTCTCCCCCCAGTAGCGACGTTCACACACAACACTCGCCACTCGTTTCAGGCCGAGTCGAATTAGCGGAGTCCCAGGACCGGTTCAGATAATCGTCACCGGCGTTGGCCGTGTACGGCAACCGGTGGGCGGTCAACACCACGCCCGACTGCTTTTGTCTCCCAAGTGGCAATGTTTACACACCGCGCTAGGCACCCATTTGAGACGCACACAACATAAAGATCCCCCCCCAATGTAGCCTGCGACAGACTTTTGGGGCATGTGCTGTCAGCGGGTAGCAGCGCCGACGAAGGCTACACAAGAGAATTGGTGGCCGGCACCACGCCCGATTGCCTTCGTCTCACTGCACCAGGTACTCATTTGAGGCTGCATCGACCCACGGGTTCCGATATATATACGCCGCTGGTGTTGGCAGTGGCTGGGAATCAAACTCGCGTGAACAGATTGGCGGCGCAATGAGCTAACCACTACGCCAACGCTCCCCACGGACGCACACAGACCTCCCTTTGGCCTTATGCGCTCTGAAGAAGGGCCGTCGCCCGAAACGTCATCAATTATCTAATTTTTCCTTTCAAGGCCACAGTGTTATTGATGAATGTGTTGAGTTTTTTGTTATTTGTGCCATGGCCTTGCCAGACTGTTGGCGCAAATGCTGTTAAAGCCAGGTTGAAAAAACATTTCTTTGGAAATTATTTTTGTATTTTAGTTTGTTGTCCTTGCCTTCCGGTGAAAAATAAGTTCAATGTACATACATACGTTGGCAAGCACCTATTGTAGGCCGACACGGTGTGAGGTTTGGCCAGAACTACCGACGCACACCGCACCCCCCCCCCCCCCCCCCCCCATTCGAGCCATCGTCACCAGCCGTGTGACACTAGCAACGCAATTGAACACGAGCAATTATGGCCACTTACGTACGATTATGATAACAGCAAAGAGTCACGGGCGTTTTGTCTCGCCAATGAAAACAGGGTAATGGCATGTGAAGCTGTAATGTTGTAAATCTACTGCAAACAAGAATTTGTTGTTGTTGCTAAAACCATTATTTTGCCAGGAAAGGCCCACTCAGCTATAACAGCTCTCTTTCAGAAGCAACCTATCACAAATGAAAACTCAACGAAGTGGCTTAATCATCACGTGGAAATGTATTGCAACCAAATACTCTAAAATGAGTTGATTCTAAATGTGGAAGGAAAAAACAGAGAACACGGAGGAAAAAAATCCACATGACCACAAAGAGAGAGAGACACGCAAACTCCAAATATACAGCAGCAGGCGTCCGGGTCGGGATCGAACCCAGGACCTCCTGTAGACCAGGCGAGGTAGTTAACATCTCCTAGCCACTGTGATGATGATGAGAGAGATACGCAAACTCCAAATATACAGCAGCAGGCGTCCGGGTCGGGATCGAACCTATGACCTCCTGTATACCAGGCGAGGTAGTTAACATCTCATAGCCACCGTGGCGTCCAGCGATACTTACTTCAGAGCCTTCAAGTCACCGGCGTTTGTGTGCTTTGCGAGTTCCCTTTTCCCGTCGGCCTGCAGATCCAACATCGCTGGTTAGTCGCAGTGCTACGGGTGGCAGAGGTCAAGGGTTACAGGTCACCGCAGCAGGTTTATCGTTTGAAGGTAAGGGGAGGAGGAGGTGGAAATGAGGAAGAAAAGATCAAGTAAAGTATTGTGGTTAATGCAGACATGAATCCTCGTAAAAAGATTTCAGTTTTGTTGCCAGAAAAAAAAGGAAAAAACCCTATTATTATAACTTGCAGATGCTTCGGGACGGGGAAAAGGGTTAAGTGTGCATGGTTACGGCAGCGGTGGTGCTGATACTTGGATGGCGATCCACGGGTGGATGATCGCAAGAGATATTCTTGTGAATCTCAGAACGAAGCAGAGCCAACGCTGGTTTAATTTAGCGAACGCTTTTACAAAGAGCACCAGATACACGTGAAAAACAATAAATTAAGTGCGCATGTAGCATGTCGATGTTACGTGGGAGTGGCCGTCAGCCAACGTAACATAAGCCGACTGCGATCCTAGTTTCGGCTGATGGCAATATAAACATCCCCCCACTAGGGAGAATTCATGCATTTCAAAACATGATCAATTTCACTAACAGATTGCGATAGTAAATTTAGGTCTTTGGCATTGTAGGGTCAATTGTAGTAATTGTTGGTCACAGCTTAGTATGTATGTAAGTGTTGAACTTCTTTCACACCACCTTATGTAGCCAACCGTGCTAATCGGATGTGCGGGGGAAAGGATAACTCAACACAAAAGTACTTGTAAAGTAACGAGTTTTCAATCTATATGATTTGAAACTGCATAGCTCCCAGTGATTTCCTGTTGGAGGGAAGAGCGTTCCAGACGGCCGCAGAAGTGCATCTGAAAGCGCCGTGCGATGCAGTGACCGCCTTTGTTCGATGGTTAGTCAAAAGCCGCCGCTGCTGCGAGGGTGACCGGAATTTGCGTGATGGGTCATGCTCCCCGAGAAGATCAGTGAGGTATTGCGGTTCAACTGTGGCGAGCAATTTGTGTGCGATGAGGGTCATCTTAGACAGTATTCGTTCGGCTTTCTGGTGGATCATCGCGGAGCCGCGCTGAGATTCACCACAATGGATCGTCACGGTGCTTGGTGGACTGGCCACGCTGGATTTAATGGGATGGGGGGGGGGAGTCAAGGGTGAGAGGACGAGCCGTTGGGCGTGATGGTTTTAGTGCCGAGATTGTTTGATTTGTTACGCGGATGATGATAGTGGTTCCGCTTAGCCAGTTGCCCCGGTTAGATTTTACGCCGGAGGTCCTTGGGGTGATGCGTGAGCAGAAAGCGAGTGCCGGGGGTGCGCGCTTCAGGAATATTGCACAACAAACAAACGAGGCGTTTGACCCTCGTAAACGAAACGCACGGCGATAATACATACGTGACAGCGAAAGTATCCGAAGAAAGCTCGACACTTTAGTCTAACGACGACATAAACAAACAATCTCTGTGCCCCAATACTCCCGCCCCTCTCCTGCATAATAAATAGATGTTATCAATCGGCTTAACTTCGCGTTCCTATAGCTTATCCCCCCCCCCTACCTTGGCTCCTCCCCCCCTCTTACCCTATATAATCGCGTATCTCTATTAGCTATCTTCACTTACGACAGTGATTTTGGCTGTAACAGTTCCACCTGAAGACGGAAGCTTGTGGTGCCTCCGAAACGTCGTGATTTAATCTAGTTGTTTTTTCATTTAAATTATTATTTTCACCTACGTGACTTTACCGAAAAAACCAAAGAGTATAAACAGACACATGAATACAAATCAAGTGGGAACCGAGAGGCGGCAGAAAAAAAGGTTAGGTACAGGTGCAAGTAAGCGCTATGTTTGAGTCTAACAGCGACATAAACACACACACACACGCACGAGTAAGTAAAAGTCCCAGGACAGCGCAAACGTGTGGGAAGCAGTGACGGTGCTGGTGCTCGCCGACCTGCGCGGCGAGGCCCTGAGCGACGCTGATCGCGGAGAGGAGCGAGCCGAGCGAGGGGCTGGCGTCGGCGTCGCACGACGGAGCCACCAGGCTCAGCGAGAAGAGCGGCTCGTACTCCGACAGGTCCATCGTCTGCGCCACACGCACGAGCCGCGTCAGTCACGGCCACGACACCGCGCGTGCCACATCAATCAGACTCGCAACAATAAACCGCGCAAGCGACGCCGGTCACGGCGGCGACAAACCAACGGGACGACCGGCACGACGGGCCGCAATCGGCGAGTTTCACGACAAACCAACAAGCGGTGGGGGATGGTGCGGGGTCGTGACCTGGTCCAGCAGGATCTGGCAGACGTCGGGGCTGAATCGGCGCAGTGCGGCCAGCGTGGTGCCCAGGATGCGCAGCAGGCTCGCCTGGGCCAGGGCCACGCCGCCGGGGCCTCGCTCTGCCTCCTGGCCGACTTCGCCGGTGCCGCCGACGCCGCCGACGCCGACGCCCGTGCCGCAGCCGCCGCGACCACCGCCGTCCCGGCCGGGTGCCGCCGCCAGCCCCGCGCTTTTCGACTGCAGCGCACGAGGCATCGTCGCGTCAGGGGCGACATTGGTCGCGGTCACAGGCAACGACAATCCATTCATTCAACTCCCTCCCCGCCTTCGCTGGAACAGACTCCGTTGCAGCACACAGAGCAATCACCTTCACTCGAACCGGCAGCCTCTCTTACAACAACCCCCATCCCTCTTCTTCACTAGCCCAGCGTCATCCTGCACTGCCGCTACTCTCGAACCCCCTGCCGCCCCCAGCTACGACCAGGCCTCACTACACCTATCACTACCCCAACCACTCTCACTACCCCTATTACTAACCCCTATCACTACCCCTATCACTACCCCAACCCCTACCACTACCCCAACCCCTATCACTACCCCACCCCTATCACTACCGCAACACCTCCTTAACCGCTTCCACCTGTTCTCCTGTCACCATAACTGCACCACCACGGGGGGCGGTGGCGGCGACATTCCTTTGAGGGTTGCGGCTCTCACTTTCAACGTTGACCGCCAACCAAAGTTGCGCAATTTGCTGCTGCAGTTTGTGCATCAAGAGGGGTGACGCGTCCCGCCGCAACGGTGACAGTGAACCCCGCTGCAACTTCCCAAGATCTGCCGAGATGTGACGACACTGGGCGCAGTGCTCACCCTAACAGGCTGTGTTGTGGGTGGGTGGGGGCGGGGGGGTGGTGCGGCAGCCGCTCATGACCGCATGGTACGTTGCGGCGTTGCCAAGCACACCCGCCGCGAGCCGAGCTAACGAGCGGAAGGACAAAGCTGGGACGGAGGACGATGAAGAGGGAAGTCGTCGCTGGCGCGGAGAGAAAGAGTTGGGGGCAAAGGGAGCGACTCTGTCCGGCGCTAGCCCGGCGTTAGCCCGGCGCTAGCCCGGTGCTAGTGCGGCGGCACCACTCACCGCGAGGTACTGCTGCAGGAGCTTCTGGCTGTGCAGCAAGGCGGTGCACGTCTGGCATAGGGAGCAGAGCGCCACCTGCAGCAACACGGAAGGACGCGGACGCCGCCGTCAACAATCCAAGCACCGGCATTGGAACATTCTCTCTCGCCCGGCCGATGACGAATATTGTTTCGTAATCTTCCCCCACCCCCCAACCCAAAGGTCCCCCCACCACCCCCCCCGTGTGCTGTTGCCAGAGTGGCAGCGCCTATGAGGGCCGGACACACAGCACACGGCGCGGTGGGTGGCCAGCACCACGCCCGGCCGCATTTGTCTCCCTAGTGTTGGCCGTGAACGGGCATTGAACTCGGGTCACCGGGTTGGAAGCGCGGCGCGCGCTAACCACTGCACTACCGCTCCCCCCTCACCTCCCACCCACCTCTGTCCATGGGTCTCTATGCGAGTCTATGGGCCTCTGTGTAAGTCACTGGTTACCATCGACTCACTACGCTTGAAAACCCGGTTTAAACCACAGGCAGCGGCTGAAACCTGGATCTGAACCGAGGCTATTTTTCAGCGGTGCCAGCTCTTTGATGTGTGAGCCACTCGACCCCCGTCGTCAACACCTTGACGGCGGAGCTCGCCTGCACGGCAGGTCACCTGAACAGAGCTCACCTGCACGGAGTTCAGCAACAGCGGCAGGTGGAAGTGCCACTCCCTGGTGAAGTAGGCCAAGTGCAGGAGGAAGGCGACCGTCTTCTCCGCCTCCTCCAGGCAGGCCTGGCCCAGCACCCCCCGCACCGCCTGCAGGCTCTGGGAAAGGCGCAGCGGTGCGACACGCAGCCCAAGTCACAAACTCCGCTCTCCCCTTCTCTTCCCTGCCCTCCGCCCGAGTGAGACGCTGCCACCCGGCACGAGATTGTCACGGCATCGCACGGCGCTTGCGGACGCGATTCCGCGGCCGTCTGGAACGCTCTTCCTTCCGATATTAGGAAGCCACTGGCAGCTACGCACTTTTAAATCATACAGATCGAGGACTGCCTTTTTATGTTCCGTTTGTTGTCCTTCCCCCCGCACGTCCGATTAGCACGGTTGGCTACGTACGGCGGTGCGAAAGACGTTCAACACGTTCAGGCATCGTCGATACACCGATAAAATGTGGGAACATTTAAATGTATTTCACTTCGATTTAAAGCTTTCGTGACTGCAGGGATTCATCTTCTTGGTTCTTTCGGTAAAGTCCCGTAGACTGTCTACTCGACAGACCTGCTCTCCACCTGAGGACGGCTGCTTGCGTTGTGGCCGAAACGTCGTGAGAATTATTTTATTATGTTTTATTTTTATTATTTTATCATTTACATTCTACGTGACTTTACCGAAAGAATCAAGAAAATGTATTTCACTGTTGGCTATTGGAGAGAACAAAGCTTGGGGGGGCGGCGGGGGGCATCCTACCCATGAATTAGGGGACACCCCGAACCTGAACGTCCAGGTAACAATTCTAGATTTGAAGCTTTCGTGACTGCAAAGATTCATATTCTTAGGTTTTTTTCGGTTAAGTCACGTAAGTAAAACATCAAAATAAAAATAAAAATAAAAATCACGACGTTTCGGAGGCAACACAAGTCTCCGTCATCAGGTGGGACCGTCACAGCCGAATTAGCTGCATCAAGTGAAGCAATGATTCAAGATGTAATCCCTTATAAGCAAGTTGAAGGGAGGTGGAGAGGGGGGGGGGGGTTGGAGAGCTTATCAGACTGTGGTAGCCAATGAATGGAAACGTATCACCCTACTGGCGTGACGAACGCAGCTACGCAAGGCACTGGCGCGCCGCCAACGAGCGCCCGCACGCGTATCAAGAGGACGGCCGGTCAGCCGGCAGGGGTCGCGACCTGCAGGATGCGCTCCTGGTGGACGCCCAGGAAGTCGAGGGCCTGAGGCAGGGCGCTGTGACGCAGCTGCCTCAGGACGGCCTGCAGGACGGCCAGGCACAGGCAGTAGGCGCCTTGCCAGCTGGGCGCCTCGTGGCTCCTCCGCGGGGGTCCCCCAGCCTTCTGTACACCGTGCGTGACACGCACGCGGGAGACACACGCAGGGGTCAAACGTGGGACACGCACACGGGACATACAAGGGCACACACGGAAGTGACACACAGGACACACACGGGAGACACACACGGATAGGCACACACACGGGACACACAAGGGGCACGCATTGTTACACAAGGGACACACATGGGACACAGTCACACACAAGAGACACACACGGGACACACACACACGACACAGTCGCACGCGCAGGCACACGAAGCATGTGGGACAATCCGGCTCTACTGTCAGCTCATGTTTTTGTTTGCTGCGGTTGAACCCGATTCAAGAGCCGAATGGCTCACAGGGCTATACCACATAAATGAAACTGAAAAATGAAACTGAAGTGACCCATGTAGGATCAGTAACCGCTCAACAACAGCAGGGGTGGAAGGCATGAAGGTGGGCCGGGTTGGTGGTTAAGCAGGTAGGCGAAGTGGTCGAGTGAGTGCGTAGGCGAGTGTGTGGGCACAGCTGGGCTAGTTGGGCGACGGGTGTACGGGCGACACTCGGCAGGCGTGGGCGAGCACACGTCCGGACGGTGCTCACCTCGAGCGCGGCGAGGCCGTTGGCGTCCACCTGGTAGGTGCTCAGCAGGGGCAGGCACAGGCACTGCAGCACCCCGACCGCGGCCAGCGCCTGGGCGCCCTGCACACCGCGGCGCACAACGCACCGCTCGGCACCGGTGCCACCGGGACAAAGACAAAGCTACGCCGTGTAGCCTCTTAACGGACTCGTGGTTTCTTTTTGTTAACTGAACCCATTTTAACAGTCGCAAGAGAGGACACGCGGACGTGCAAGGAGGGTCACAGCACATATGGATCATCGCGTCCTCTGGGTCGGCTTCTCTCCCTAAACAGAGGTGGCTTGTTAATGTGTAGAGGGTTCATTAAGTAACCAAGGCGGGGGAGCGGCATGACAAAGATGACGAACAAAACCAACGGAGAAAGAAACGTGGGACCCACATCCGCGTGCCCTCCTTCTCGAATCAGCCGTCTTAGCGGATATACCGAGGGTTAAGTGAGTCCATCTGATGGGGCGGGCGCTGTCAGTAGCGAGTAGCACCTACTAAGGCCGGCACGGCACGCGATGGCGGTGGGAGACCAACACCACGGCCGCCTTTGTCTCCCTGTCATACCTCCGCGGTGGTGGAGAGCGCCAGCAGCCAGTGCAGCGCCGCCTCTGTGAAGTGGAGTTGGCACCGCCGCTGCAGGCTCCACTCGAGGGCAGCGCCCACGGCGGGCAGCAGCGCGCCCTCACGCACGCAGCTCAGGTACCCGCTGCCGCCGCCACCGCCGCCGCCCGTGCCCTCCTCCAGCAGGTAGAGCTCCTTGGCCAAGTGCAGCGCCACCACGCACACCTGCGGCAGGACGCGGCACGGGGCCCGGCACGCACGCCGAGAGTTTCGCCGCCGCCGCCGACACCAGAACGACTGTCTTACAAAAGAGATTCCTGCTACACCGCCGAGACCCGAGAAGAGCGAGCGGTGGCAGCAGCAGCAGCCGTGGCAGATGATGGGCGTGCATCCATCGCCTGTCTTGACGTGACCCGGTGGCTCAGAGGTCAGGGCACAGAGTCGGCACCGCTGAGATCTTGGGGTTCCTTCCGATATTGAGCTGTGTACTTTTAAATCATGTTGAAAACTCATTTCTTGAGAACTGCTTTTTGTGTTTAGTTTGTTGTCCTTCCCACGCACCTCCTATTAGAACGGCTGGCTACTTACGGTGCGAAAGAAGTTCAACATGCATACAATCCGTCTCTCAGCCACTGCCTGTGATTAATCCGGGTTGTCCAGCATTGATGCCTCTCACCAGAGAGACCTGGGCCTGTGTCTCTCACCACACGGACCTGGTCCTGTGTCTCTCACCACACAGACCTGGGCCTGTGTCTCTCACCAGATAGACCTGGGCCTGTGTCTCTCACCAGACAGACCTGGGCCTGTGCCTCTCACCAGACAGACCTGGGCCTGTGCCTCTCACCAGACAGACCTGGGCCTGTGTCTTTCACCAGACAGACCTGGGCCTGTGTCTCTCACCAGGCAGACCTGGGCCTGTGTCTCTCACCAGACAGACCTGGGCCTGCGTCTCTCACCACACGGACCTGGGCCTGTGTCTCTCACCACACAGACCTGGGCCTGTGTCTCTCACCAGACAGACCTGGGCCTGTGTCTCTCACCAGACAGAGCTGGGCCTGTGTCTCTCACCAGACAGAGCTGGGCCTGTGTCTCTCACCAGACAGACCTGGGCCTGTGTCTCTCACCAGACAGACCTGGGCCTGTGTCTCTCACCAGACGGACCTGGGCCTGTGTCTCTCACCAGACAGACCTGGGCCTGCGTCTCTCACCACACAGACCTGGGCCTGTGTCTCTCACCACACAGACCTGGGCCTGCGTCTCTCACCAGACAGACCTGGGCCTGTGTCTCTCACCACACAGACCTGGGCCTGCGTCTCTCACCAGACAGACCTGGGCCTGTGTCTCTCACCAGACAGACCTGGGCCTGCGTCTCTCACCACACAGACCTGGGCCTGTGTCTCTCACCACACAGACCTGGGCCTGCGTCTCTCACCACACAGACCTGGGCTTGTGTCTCTCACCACACAGACCTGGGCCTGCGTCTCTCACCAGACAGACCTGGGCCTGTGTCTCTCACCAGACAGACCTGGGCCTGCGTCTCTCACCAGACAGACCTGGGCCTGTGCCTCTCACCAGACAGACCTGGGCCTGTGTCTCTCACCAGACGGACCTGGGCCTGTGCCTCTAACCAGAGAGACATGGGCCTGTATCACTCGCTGCGTGGAGCGGCGAGTGTGGAATGACTGCCGTGTTGTCCTCACCCCGTCCCTGTCATCCCTGGCAGGGGCTGGAGCTGAATCCGTGTCCATGCTGTCGACTCCCAGGGTGCCGGCTTGTGGCGCCGCCGCCGCCGCCGCCCGCCACGAGCTCTGGCTCTGCTCCATGAGCGCCGTCACCTCCTGCCGCAGCGTCTCGCACACCAGCTGCACCAGCTGCTTGTGTCCGGGCAGAGTACCGGCTTCAGAGGGGGGGGGAACGTGGATAGGCGACGCGGTTACCACCGTCGCCATTACCGCCACCAGCACCGTGACCATCATCGCTTCAGCGGCCGTCTGGAACGTTACCGTCACCCCACTATGATCAACACGCGCGCGTGGACAAAACAACGGCACGGCGGCTTCCAACCTCGGAGGCGCCTCTGCTGCAGAACGAGCATCACGGCCGCGAGGAGCCGCGCTTTGATCTTCTCGGCGAGGCGCCGCTCCGTTGCCTGCTGCAGCCGTCGCAGCACGTCCAGCAGCTCCGGCAGCACGTCCTGGCCGCCCGGCAGAGCGCTGGCGCCGCGGGGGAACACGCAACGGTGCAAGCGGGAGGGCGTGAGAACAGATAGCGGAGAAAAAAAACGCCGGCGGGACACAGGGCTGGTTCCGTGTCACCCCGGGCAGTTCTGTCTCATCCCCGCGCACGCAAATTTGCTGCGAGGTCGACGAGGGGCGGCTCACAAGTCACAGACGCCGAATCGGCACCGCTCACATGCTGGGTCTCCCATCTCGGCAGCCGCCCGTGAAAGTGAGTTGATGTACATGTGTGTTTGTGTCGAACTTCTTTCGCGCCACCGTGCGTAGCCAACCGTGCTAAATCGAGGTGTGGGGGAAGGACAACAAACTGAACACTGCATGCAGTTCTAAAGAAATGAGTTAGTCAATCTAGACGATGATGTAAAAGTGCACAGCTCCCAGTGGCTTCCTAATAGCGGAAAGAAGAGCGTTCCAGACGGCCGCAGAAGCGCATCTGAAAGCACTCGAAGCAGTGACCGCCACCTTTGTTCGATGGCTCAGCCAAAATAGCCGCTGCTACGAAGATGAGCGCCATGATTGTGGGATGATTTGAAAGTGTTGTAGCTGTGCATGTCCGTGTGTGTTCGCGTGCATTCGCGTGCGTACCTGCCCCAATGCCGCAGCAGAACACACAGAGTGGTAGACAGCATGGCCATGAGGTGCATGCACAGCCGACTGCACTCCACCTTCACCTGTGAGGGACAGCACACGCAGGGGGACACACAGAGGACAGACGAGGAGACGTTAGAATACATCGGGGCACGCGGGGGATACGCATGGGAGACACTTGGTGCCACGCGGGGACACAGGAGGACAGACGTGGACACACGGGCACACACATGGACCCATGAGTACATACACAAGGACCCACTGACACACACGAGGATACATGGGGACACATGGGGGACATGGGAATACATGAATTAGCATGAAAACGCATACAGACCCACAGAGATATACAGTGACTCAGAGGGATAGACTTATGAAGGCTGGCACTGCACGCGAGGGGGTGGATGTCCAACACAATGCCTGACCGCCTTTGCCTCCCTAGTGGCGATGTTCACTACACACCGCACCAGGTACTTATTTGAGGCTGGGTCCAGCTAGGGGAGGCCCAGGACCGGTTCAGATAATCGTCACTGGTGTTGACTGTGGGCGGGAATCGAACTCAGTTCGCTGGGTTTGTAGCACAGCGTGCTAACCGCCGCACTACCGCTACAGGACACACACGCACACATGACCTCACACAGTCAGGACATGAAGAAAAATAATACAACTCTTTTTTGTTATTTTACCAGGTAAGGTCCAATGAGCTGTGTAACTCTTTCTCAGAAGCGACCTGGTCACAAGAAATGACAGCTCAATGAAGTGGCCTATCATGTGGACATTTTCAGCAGCCAAATCATCTAAAGGCATGATTCTAACCGTGGAGGGGAAAACCGAAGCACCCGGAGAAAAATCCACGCGACCACGGGGAGAGAGACACGCAAACCTCCAAATAAACAACAGGCGTTAAAGGATTCATCTTCTTGGTTCTTTCGGTAAAGTTACGTAGAAGGGAAGTAATAAAACAGGTCTGTCGGAAAGACAGCGTCTGAAATAATTTCAGACGCTGTCTTTCCGACAGACCTGTTCTTCACCTGAGGATGGCTGCTTGCGTTGTGGCCGAAACGTCGTGAGAATTATTTTATTATGTTTTATTTTTATTATTTTATTGTTTCCCTTCTACGTGACTTTACCGAAAGAACCAAGAAGATGAATCGCTGCAGTCACGAAAGCTTTAAATCGAAATTTAGGCGTTAAAGGGTCGGGATCGAACCCAGGACCTCCCGTAAACCAGGTGGGGTAGTTAACATCTTGGCACCGCGGCCGGTGGGGATGGGGGGTGCGGGGGGCAGAGGGGGTGGGGAGGGGGGAAAAGAGGGGGGAGGGGGGGGGGGACTACTCTTACCAGGACGCTGAGCCCCGCCAGGACGTCCTGCATGACGGTGGCCCGGGTCTCGTCGTCGTCCAGGAAGAGAATGTTCCCCTGCAGCGACACGCACGGCGCGTGAGCACGGCACGGCTCGGGCGCGCTCACACGCTCGCTCAGTCACTCACAGGCTCACTCACCCTGCTTGCTCACTTACTCAGCGACTCAATCGCTCATTCACTCGTTTCAGTCGACCGCTCACTCGCGTGTTCACTTGGTCACGAAATACATGCACTCGCCCTCTCGCTCATTTTCTGCGCGTACATTCACTGGCTAACTCACCCATCAACCGGCCCACTCACTCACCCATCTACCGATCCATTTATTGACCAACCCGCCTATTTACTAACTTGCCCTCCCACCCACCCATTCACTTACTCACCCACCCATTCACTTACTCACCCACCCATTCACTTTCCCACCAGCCCAGCTAACCGCTCACTCACTCACTGCCCCACTGACCCCATATAAATGCTCACCAAGATACAATTCAACTGCAAAACAATAATAATCCGAACAATATCACTCGCGCGCAACACAGGACCAGCACGGGGGAGGCGACGGCCTATGTGATTGCAGCGTCCCTATGTGACCGCTCGCGCACCCGCGTGACCGCTGGCACGGACGTACGTGATTGGTGGCGAGGATGAGCAGGGTCCTCCACGCCTCCACCAGGTTGGTTCCGTCTTCTGCGGCCTCCGGCGCCGCCGCGTAGCCGGCGCCGCCGCCACCGCCGCCAACGTCCTGGTCCCCGTCGCCGAGCTGCGCGCGCGACGCCAGGCGGCACGCCAGCCCGCGCACGTAGCCCGACCAGTAGCGGTAACGGCCGCCCTCATTCAGCCTCCGCAGCACCAGCACCAGCGACGGGTCCAGAGAGCCACTGGAACGGGGGGCCGGGGGGGGGGGAGGTGGCGGAAGTAGCGGCAGGGGCATCAGCGTGGCCGCATGCAGCCAAACGTCGCTGCGGTCGCATCTTTGCCAAAATGTGTAACTGTGGAATATTTGGAAACGCCGCTTCTCCCCGATTTAAATCCGGATGATGCGACCGGCGTCGTGACATCGGAATCAATTCCGATGTCTCGTGCAGCAGCGCGACCCCCTTTGTGACAGACGAACGGCCCACGTAAGCGGATATTGTAGAACTACCTCCCTAACGTCGTCAGGTGCCGCCTTCTGGTCCACAGACAGAGAGTAACGTTGGGCCCATGACACACCAAACCAAACATTGAAATTTCTCACAGCTGGAATTTGGCCAAATGGAAGTGCGGAACCAAATTTAATTCATAGCTCGGGGCGAGCAGCGACATCACCACAAGTACGTGTGGTTAATGCAGACTTGATTCCTTGCTAAAGGTATTTGAACATCCCATACGAGTAATCTCGTCTGGGCCCGGACAGCCGTTGGTGGGGTTTGCATGGGGGACGCGGAGCGGACGCAGCGCGGGGAGTCTCACCTGACGACGTAGAACACCTCCAGGGAGATGATCTTGAGGATGAAGGCGCACGCTTCGAGCGTGCTGACCTGACGAGGAGAGGGGCGGCACAGGGCGACACCGCCGGACGTCACTCGCGGTTCACAGCAAGGCAAGGACTCTTCAACTTTCATCTCGATTTGAAGCTTTCGTGACTGCAGGAGTCCATAACTCTTTGGCTCTTTCGGTAAAGTCACGTGGGTAGCAACACAAGTGTCCGTCATCAGGTAGGAAAGCGTGGTCTGCTGCTGAGGCAGACTGGGCGCCCGAAACGTCGTGAGCTTCAACTAAACTTAACCTTTTTATTTTACCAGGTAAGGCTCCCACTGCTAGTGATGACGACGGTGGTGGTGATGATGGTCTTGATATCGTTCCAAGTGTATTTTGTTTAACCTAAGCTCAACTATATTCTTGGTTCTTTCGGTAAAGTCACGTAGAAGGGAAACAATAAAATAATAATATAAAACAATAACATTCTCACGACATGTCAATCATCATCAGGTGTGAAATCCACACCTCGTGATGGATTTCACACCTGATGATGATTGCTTGTGTTGCAGTCGAAATGGCATGAGAATTGTATTGTTTTAGATTTTTATTATTTTATTGTTTCCCTTCTACGTGACTTTACCGAAAGAACCAAAAATATGAATCCCTGCAGTCACGAAAGATTTAAATCAAAATCTAAGCTCAACTTTCAAAACTAAACTTTTTATTTTACCAGGTAAGGCTCCCACTGAGCTATCACATAGCTCCTTTTCAGTGGCCACAATTGATGGCTCAACAAGGAAGCTTGTGATCATCACGTGAAAATGTACACCAGCCGAATACTCTGAAATGCGTCATGTTGATCTGAACTGTGGAGGAGAAAAAAAAAACCAGGAGGACCCGGAGAAAATCCACGCAGAGAAAAAATCCACAGGTGTTGCTAGTTTGTTCAAACGATGAGGCCTTGGTTATGTATGTGTGTATGTATGTGTGTATGTATGAGTGTATGTGTGTATTTATGTGTGTATGTATGTGTGTGTGTATCTATGCCTGTATGTATGTGTGTATCTATGTGTGTATCTATGTGTGTATGTATGTGTGTATCTATGTGTGTATGTATGTGTGTATCTATGTGTGTATGTATGTGTGTATGTATGAGTGTATGTGTGTATGTATGTATGTGTGTATGTATGTGTGTATGTATGAGTGTATGTGTGTATTTATGTGTGTATGCATGTGTGTGTGTATCTATGTGTGTATGTATGTGTGTATCTATGTGTGTATCTATGTGTGTATGTATGTGTGTATCTGTGTGTGTATGTATGTGTGTATCTATGTGTGTATGTATGTGTGTATCTATGTGTGTATGTATGTGTGTATGTATGTATGTGTGTATCTATGTGTGTATGTATGTGTGTATCTGTGTGTATCTACGTGTGTTTGTATGTTCTTCTTTTTCCCCCGCGCGTAGCCAACCGCGCTAATCAGAGGTGCGGGCGAAAGACAACAAACTAAACACAAAAAGCAGTTCTAAAGAAATTAGTTTGTCAACCTAGATCAAGGGTGGGGAATGTCCGGCCTGCGGGCCGCAAAAAGCCCACAAAATAATTGTCTGACCCTGCCAAGGCAAACGCACGACTCGAAATTCAATAAATATAGGAGCTTTTTTCATAGCAACGAAAATTGAATTTTGCATGGCCCGCGAATGATGTTATAAATATCCAAATGGCCCTTGGCAGAAAAAAGGTTCCCCACCCCTGATCTAGATGATTTAAAAGTGGCTTCCTAATATCGGAAGGAAGAGAGCGTTCCAGACAGCTGCAGAAGCGCATCTGAAAGCGCCGCGCGATGCGGTGAACGTGTACCTCGATGTCGGTGGATATTGGCAGGAAGTCGCTGAACAGGGGATAGGTGAGGTTCTCCCAAAAGTCCTTCCTGAAAGAAATAAAAACCAGCGGACAACGCTATGACACACAAACTGCGTTGCCGGTGCTATTGGGTCGGCAAGCTTCACAGGTATGATGGGCAAGCGGGTGGTTGCATACCGTGTCAACCCATCACGGTTTAGCCCGTATTCTTGTGCAGGGAAATTGAGTTTTCAGGTCCATATGGCCGTACAGCCATTTCAATACGGACAAAAATATACTTTTTTGTCTATTTGTTTGCGTTTCTCCCTTGCGATGGGACTTGGTAGGATGAACGCTGAGATTAATAAGGGGGCACGGGGTGACCGATAAGCACTGAATTGGTCTGCGATAAGGTCGAAGCACTGAGAAGGGGTTTGACAGGTTTGTGGTTGTCGAGTAGATGGGTGGGTGGCGCCCCACCTGCTTCTCAGGATGGTCATGGCGCTCTGCCGACGGTCCTGCCACAGCGCGTACACGAAGGCCACGGCGGTGCGGTGGAGCAGCGGGGGACAGGAGGGCGCCCCAGGGCCTTCCACACACACCAACTCCAGCACCACGGGCAGGCAGCTGCCATTGCCCAGCGCCAGCTCCTGCTGGGTAGCCGACGCACACAAAGACAAAGATCCGCCGTACACACATACACTCATACATACAAACATACACTCATACATACATACACACATACTTACACACAGATACACACATACATACACACGTAGATACACACACACATACACTCATACATACACACATACATACACACGTAGATACACATGCATACACACATAAATACACACATACACTCATACATACACACATACATACACACATACACTCATACATAACACATACACTCATACACACACAGATACACACATACATACACACATACACACATACATACACACATACACACACTCATACATACATAGATACACACATACTTACACACAGATACACACATACATACACACGTAGACACACACATACATACACACATAAATACACACATACACTCATACATACACACATAAATACACACATACACTCATACATACATACACACATACACTCATACATACACACATACACTCATACATACACACATACATACATACACACATAAATACACACGTAGATACACATATACATACACACATATACATAGATACACTACATACATACACAAAGATAAAGATCCCCCATATAGCCTTAACAGACTGTAAGGGCAAGTGCTGTTAGCGAGCACCTATGAAGGCCGGAACGGTACACGAGGGGGTGGGTGGCTAGCACCACGCCCGACCGCCTTTGTCTCCCCAGTGGCGATGTTTAGACACCGCACCAGGTACTAATTTCAGGCTGAGTCGACCTAGGCGAGGCCCAGGACCGTGAGCGGGAACCGAACTTGGGTTGCCGGGTTCGTCGCGCAGCGCGCTAACTGCTCCCCATTATACACACACGCACATATGATACACACGCATGTGTGCGTGTATGTATTTATGTATGTGTGCATGTGTGCGTGCGTCCGTTTCTCACCTTGGAGCCGCTATCCGCGCCGCTCTCCGGCTGCAGGTCCAGGAAGAGCTCGATGAGGCCGGGCTGGGTCTCCACGGCAACCGTCAGGAACTCCAGGATCATCACCTTGATTCTCATATCCTGGGCACACGGCGGACAACACGTAGTGAGTGGACGCACCGAACAACACGTGGTGAGTGGGCACGCAGTGTGACACGTGGTGAGTGGGCACACAGTGTAACACGTGGTGAGTGGGCACACAGTGTGACACGTGGTGAGTGGGTACACAGTGTGACACGTGGTGAGTGGGCACACAGTGTAACACGTGGTGAGTGGGCACACAGTGTGACACGTGGTGAGTGGGTACACAGTGTGACACGTGGTGAGTGGGCACACAGTGTGACACGTTGTGAGTGGGCACACAGTGTGACGCGTGGTGAGTGGGCACACAGTGTGACACGTGGTGAGTGGGCACATAGTGTGACGCGTGGCGAGTGGGTACACAGTGTGACACGTGGTGAGTGGGCACACAGTGTGACGCGTGGTGAGTGGGCACACAGTGTGACGCGTGGTGAGTGGGTACACAGTGTGACGCGTGGTGAGTGGGCACACAGTGTGACGCGTGGTGAGTGGGTACACAGTGTGACACGTGGTGAGTGGGCACACAGTGTGACGCGTGGTGAGTGGGTACACAGTGTGACACGTGGTGAGTGGGTACACAGTGTGACACGTGGTGAGTGGGTACACAGTGTGACACGTGGTGAGTGGGTACACAGTGTGACACGTGGTGAGTGAGCACGCAGTGTGACACGTGGTGAGTGGGTACACAATGTGACACGTGGTGAGTGGGTACACAGTGTGACGCGTGGTGAGTGGGCACACAGTGTGACGCGTGGTGAGTGGGCACACAGTGTGACGCGTGGTGAGTGGGTACACAGTGTGACACGTGGTGAGTGGGTACACAGTGTGACACGTGGTGAGTGGGCACACAGTGTGACGCGTGGTGAGTGGGTACACAGTGTGACACGTGGTGAGTGGGTACACAGTGTGACGCGTGGTGAGTGGGCACACAGTGTGACACGTGGTGAGTGGGTACACAGTGTGACACGTGGTGAGTGGGTACACAGTGTGACGCGTAGTGAGTGGGCACACAGTGTGACACGTGGTGAGTGGGTACACAGTGTGACACGTGGTGAGTGGGCACACAGTGTGACGCGTGGTGAGTGGGCACACAGTGTGACGCGTGGTGAGTGGGTACACAGTGTGACACGTGGTGAGTGGGTACACAGTGTGACGCGTGGTGAGTGGGCACACAGTGTGACGCGTGGTGAGTGGGTACACAGTGTGACGCGTGGTGAGTGGGTACACAGTGTGACACGTGGTGAGTGGGTACACAGTGTGACACGTGGTGAGTGGGTACACAGTGTGACGCGTGGTGAGTGGGTACACAGTGTGACGCGTGGTGAGTGGGCACACAGTGTGACACGTGGTGAGTGGGTACACAGTGTGACGCGTGGTGAGTGGGCACACAGTGTGACACGTGGTGAGTGGGCACACAGTGTGACACGTGGTGAGTGGGTACACAGTGTGACGCGTGGTGAGTGGGCACACAGTGTGACACGTGGTGAGTGGGTACACAGTGTGACACGTGGTGAGTGGGCACACAGTGTGATGCGTGGTGAGTGGGTACACAGTGTGACACGTGGTGAGTGGGTACACAGTGTGACGCGTGGTGAGTGGGTTCACAGTGTGACACGTGGTGAGTGGGCAACACGTGGTGAGTGGGCACACAGTGTGACACGTGGTGAGTGGGTGCACAGTGTGACGCGTGGTGAGTGGGCACACAGTGTGACACGTGGTGAGTGGGCACACAGTGTGACGCGTGGTGAGTGGGCACACAGTGTGACGTGTGGTGAGTGGGTACACAGTGTGACGCGTGGTGAGTGGGTACACAGTGTGACACGTGGTGAGTGGGCACACAGTGTGACACGTGGTGAGTGGGCACAGTGTGACACGTGGTGAGTGGGTACACAGTGTGACACGTGGTGAGTGGGCACACAGTGTGACACGTGGTGAGTGGGCAACACGTGGTGAGTGGGCACGCAGAGCGACACGTGGTGAGTGGACACGCGGGGACTCTGAGGGCTGTTTGTGAGGAGCCTGCACCTCGGTGGGTGATCGCAGGCGGCCGATAAAGGCGTCCCGTATGGCCGGCGCATCTCCGCCGAGACAGCCGTACACCGACATGGGCGCCACCTGCCGGCACAAGCCGCCCGTCACTCACACGGCACGCGCCACAAGGACAAAGATCCCCCATACGGCCTCTAGAAGACTGCTGGGGCAAGTGCTGTTAGCGAGTAGCAATTACGAAGGCCGGCACGGTGCACGAGGGGGTGTGTGGCCAGCATCGCGCCCCATCACCTTTGTCTCCCAAGTGGTGATGTTAACACACTGCAACTGATTCTCATTTGAGGCTGAGTCGACCTACGGGAGGCCCAGGACCGGTTCAGATAAATGTCCATGAGCGGGAATGGAACACGATTAGCCAGGTTCGTAGCGCCGCGCGCTAACCGCTGTGGCACCGCTCCCCGCAGCGCCAGCACGTGTTGCACAAACATGTGCCAAAGAACCAGCGCCATCATCGGTTGTTAAAACAACAGTTAACGGATTTAATTTCACTGAATTCACACACGTTAATAATTGCCAACATCAACCCGAGAAAAAAAATTCACAATCTGTAACAACTTTATTTAGATTCTGGGAATGCAATTGCCAATAAAACCCACAAGGTCGAAACCGATCCAGAGTTACGCAAACTTAAACAAATGCTGCTAGAGAATAATGATGCGGGAAGCTGATGGACATATTTTTGTTCACGTGTGTTTACGATTCCTTTGACCGCTGTTTGTGCCCGGGGACGTAATGAAACGCAAGTTTAACTATAAAATAAATTTTAAAAAAATAAAAAAAATGAAACGCATCCATCATTTTACAAAAGAGGATGTTACTACAGCGGTAAGGTGTCCGGGAAAGTGTAAAGTGTGATACCAATGCCAGCGTCATTGGAATACTTTAACCATCAACTTTTGACAGTTTGGATTGTATCAACTCCATTCAGATGGGGCGCACAATGAACTTAATAATTAATCGTTCACCTCATCCACTTTTCTTACCGATTTGTTTATCTCCCCGATACTTTGCACTCGAATCGTGTTTGTTGAATTGTTCGTTGTTGTAACTCTCTGACCCCCATGCCCCTATTGGAAATCTTTGATCAAGAGCTTTATAGCTCATCAGATTCTTCCTGCAGTCAAAAATAAAGGTACAGGTAGTCCTCTAATTACGATGGAGATGCGTTACGATGACCCCATCGTAAGTCGAAAATATCGTAAGTCGAAGATGGCCTAGCCTACCCAGGAGTCTTAAAGAATGGTGATAATTTAGCAAAACAGAGCAATTTACAGTAGCGTACTGTATAAACTATATACTGTATGTATTTATTAATTACAATACTGCATTGCACAGTAAAATGTAAAGTAAAAAAAACAAGGTAAATTCTTAACCTACCTATATGAACTGCAATTTAATAGAAAGTTTTTTCAGGAAACAATCCTATCTGCTGTAAAAACTTTTAACATGCATTGAACGTATCGTATCGTGGTAACCCTAAAATGAAATCGCTAAAGCTACGTATCATACATGCATTGAACGTATCGTAACGTATCATATTGTACTCTAGTCACCAAGATTCTGTCCTTCGTCTGCACACTTGAACGATGTTAGGGTTGCTGATGGCAATTTTGTCGTATCGCTATCGCCATCGTAAGATCGAAATATCGTAAGTCGGACCATCGTAACTCGGGGACTACCTGTACTGAAGGGGGGTGGGGGGTGGGGCCACTGCTGGCGCTCACCATGGCGAGGCGCTTGAGCAGCTGCACGGCGAGCCTGGGCAGCGCGGCGTCGTGCCGGTGGTAAATGTAACGCGCCAGGATCGCCATCACGTTGCCGTGGACGCCTGCGGTGGGTGGATGGCGCGCAAACCCACGCACGAGTCATGGGGGGACGCGGGGAGGGGGGCGGGAGGGAGACGGGGTGGACGCGGGGGGGGGGGTGACGGGCGCGGGGGACGCTGGTAGATGTCGTAGGAGACGAGACAGCAGGACTGTGATGAGAGGGAGTTATAATCCCTCTCGACGGAGACGCGGAAAACTTAGCGACGCTGCTCGAGACCGCAAGTGCGCCGACGGACGCCGAGGGCGGTGACTGGCTGCATACCGTACAAACAGAAGAGACTCGCCGAGCTCACCGAACTCGCCAAGCGGATGACAGTGGGGGGGGGGGGGAAAATTAACCCGTAAAAACAAAGTTTTTCACTATAAATCCTTTATATGCATGGCGGCTAGAGTCCTCTCGTCCTCTGGCTTGAGATGGCTGCCACCTATGGGTCAGATGATTGCCTGCCACCATTAAGCAATTGGTAATAAAATATAATTTATTTTTTCCTAAAAAGTGTGTGCAAAATGTCAGCTCAATTGGATCACGGGAAGTGGGTTAAAAAACGACCGAAAGATTTGCACGGTCGTAAGCGCGCAAGCAAGCAAGCAAGCGAACTTAATATAAAGGATTTAAAAAATGTGACGCGTGTCCCGCTCGCACCGAACAACCGACTCAATGTTTCACCGCTTCAGTCGGCCACACTATGAGAATGGGATCGCTGACAGAAGGTCGCGAGTTCGATCCTGGCCCTGACGCCTGCTGCTGTATATTTGGAGTTTGCGTGTCTCTCTCTGTCATCATCATCATCATCACGGTGGCTAGATGTTAACTCCCTCGCCTGGTATACAGGAGATCATGGGTTCGATCCCGACCCTGACCCTCACGCCTGCATATATTTGGAGTTTGCGTGTCTCTCTCTCCCCATGGTCACGTGGATTTTTCTCCGGGTCCTCCGGTGTTTTTCCCCTCCACATTTAGAATCAACGTCGCTCGTTTCGAGTACTTCGCTGCTGGTAGAAAGTTTCACGTGACGACGACGATGATGATGATAAGCCATCGTCATTGAGCTATCATTTGCGATAGCCAGGGTTGTTTCTGAAAAAAAGCTACATAGCAGCTCAGTGGGAGCCATACCTGGTAAAAAACATTTATAAATATACTAGCTTTACCACCCGGCTTCGCCCGAGACTTGGATTCTTGTCTTGGATTAATACACGGCCTACACGGAGGGTGGGGCGGGGGATGCGTGACGTCAGCAGGCACACTGCGTGACGCTGCCGCATGCGGGTGACATCACAGATGTGACGTCACCGCTCACTTGTCGTGCAAAATACATCCATTATTGCACTCCCTCCCCCCCCAAAATACAAAAGTCTATTTTATAAGTTTTGCATTGTGTACAGTCTGGAAGCTACCCACATGCCAAATTTCAAGTTTGTTGCATGTTGAGAAGTACGCTAAACATTTAGAACAGACGCACATTCACACATTTCCCGTTTATATATATAGATATATACGAGGACTACGACTGAGATAAACGACGCAGCCCAAACGATCGCCGGCTGGGTGGCCGCGTGACGTTGCGACGACGCGACCGCTCACCCTGCTGAGTGAGCGCGTGCTCCAGCGGCGTGAGCTCGTCCGACGCCGGCTTGAGCCTCAGCGTGTTGTTGATGACGGAGAATGCCAGCTTCATGGTCTGGATAAGCGTGAGCGCCGGTCCCTCCAGAACTCTGCGACGGACACCACGGTTCGAAAATTCGAGTCTCATCCCCCCCCACCACCCCCCATCACATCCTCTTGCTCTTTTGGGCAACAGGTACGACTCCTGGGCGTGGTGGTCTTCCTCAACAAAGCTAGAGAGGGGACTGCGAGCGGTTATGGGGAAGTGGAGTTGTGTTGGGAGGAGAGGAAGGGAGGGCGATGATGGGGAGGGAGGGAGGGGAGGGAGGGAGGGCGTTGATGGGGGAGTGGGATGGAGCGAGAGTGACTCTGTCATGTGGTCAGGCTGTCTGGGAAGAGAGGGATATTGGAAAAGCTTTTAAAACGAATTAATTACTCTCTTCCCCCCGAGAGAAGACCCCACGCAATCCTCGGTCCCCATAGGACCCATTAAAAGTCCGTGAGCCATGGGACTGCTAGTGAGAGGCAGTGGGATGTCCGACTGTCCCCGGTAGAATGTAGGTGAATGGACTGCATCTCACAAATTACTGGGGATGTTTAAAGAATCTGCAATGTTGTAAGCGTGGGCGCACAATCCAGGGGTGGCCAGTTTTTAAACCCAACAAAGCAACGGTTCAAGTTTCTCGAATCCCTCTCCGCCCACGTCCACCCAGCAGCACAAATGCGGCACACCGCACGCGGTCAGTTGGTGGGCAGGTCGCGGTGTGGCGGTAGCAGAGAGTTTGGATGCTCTCCGCCTCTCCCAAGATGTAACCGGACGGCGTTTGTGACCTTTGACACGTCATCAAGGTGTGCGCGCTGGCGTGGCGCCGGCCGTGGCCGAGTGCAGTTTGCGTACCGGCCGGGCTGGGCGGCCAGGACGGTGTCGATGGCGCCCACGCCGATGGACAGCATGTGGATGAGGGCCAGGCCGGACTCGCCGTGCAGGAGGCTGTGCAGACACACGGCCTGCAGGCTGGGACCCCTGCGCACAACGTCAACATCAACATCATCCTCTTAGGTTGTTTTCGGTAAAGTCACGTAAGTCAAAAATAAAATAAATAAAATAATAGAAATAAGAGTATGAATAAGAGTATGAAACCTTGCAGTCACGAAAGCTTCAAATCTAGAATCAGCATCATCGTCAAAGATAAAGATCCCCCCTCTGTGTAGTCTTCATGGCCTGCTGGGGAAAGTGCTGCTAGCGAGTATCGGTGCCTATGAAGGCCGACACTGTGGCATATGATGCTGCACCACGCCCGGCGACCTTCTTCTACCGAGAGGCGTTGTTCACACAGGACACTGGGTACTTATTTGAGGTCGAGTACACCTAGGGGAGATCCAGGACCGGTTCAGATAATCGTCACCAGTGTGGGCCGTGTGCGGAAACGAATTCGATTCGCCAGGTTCGTGGCGGAGAGCGCTAACCGCCACGCCACCGCTCCCCACACTATCATCATCACGACCAACAGCACCACCCTTACTTTCACAAAATTACGAACATCACCAAAAATCTCCCCCACTGCAACTACCGCCACCATCCTCATCACGAATACTTTCACCAATACCAATACCACCACCATTACCAACACCACTATCATTACCAACAGATTAACCACCATGCCCAATGTAATGACCATCTTACCATTAATCTAGGATTGAAGCTTTCGTGACTGCAGGATTTACGATACTCATTGGTTCTTTCGGTAAAGTCACGTGTGTAGAAATGTCTTTCCATTGTGTGCCACCACCAGCACCAACGACAAATACCCCCCCCCCCCCCCCGTGTATCCCATGTAGACTGTTGGGGCAAGTGCTGTTAGTGAGCAGCACCTCCGAAGGCCGGTACACAGCACACAAGTGGCGATGCTCACAGATCACACCGGGTACTCATTTGAGGTTGAGTCAACCTAGGGGAGGCCCAGTAATGGTTCAGATAATCACCGCTGGTGTTGGCCGTGAGCGGGAAATCGAACTCGGGTCGTCTGGTCCGTTGCGCAGCGCACTAACCGCTGCGCCACCGCTCCCCATCACCAATACCGTTACCACCGTGGCCACCATCACGACCGTCTTTACCGCTGCTTACCACCGCCGTGCCTCCCGCAAAGACGGATGTGACAAGTGCCGTTCGCGAGCAGCTGTTAAGGGACGGCGCATGACGCCGTTAGTGCGGCCAAGCTAAGTTGAAAAGTGTTAAGACAGAAGAGACGACAGCAGGCCACGGGGTGGCCCTGCTAGTTCCGGCTGTGTGGCCGTACCTGCCACTGTCGACGCTGATGTTGAGCACAAAGTGGATCTGCTCCAGCATCAACTTTCCTACAGACACAGCACAGACGATTCCGTGTAACAAATCAAATAAACGTGAACTCATTATGACGACGAAGACAACAACAACCACCGCCGCCGTTCACCACCAATCGGCGGTGACGTCACCCGCGGCGTCTGTGCCACATTCGCTGCAATTTTGAGGCCACGCGAAGTGTCGAAGGCCCGCTTGGCAGGAAGTCACGGGATAGACCCAGGTGCCATGGGTTGACCGTACGTATGTCTACATACGTATGTTGAACTTCTTTCGCACAATACGTAGCCAACCGTTGTAGTCGGAGGTGTAGGGGGGGGTGTGCGTTTCCTAATACCGGAAGAGCATTAAGCGCTTGCCACAAATGATGAGTGCGACCTTCTAACGTGCCAGAGATCAATTTTATTTTACCAGACAAGGCCCACTGAGCGATATAGCTCTTTTTCAGAAGCGACCTGACCGGACATGAGAGCTGAACGAAGCAGCTTATCATCGCGTGGACATTTCTAGGAGCAGCTACATATAAACGCACGTCGATTCTAAATGTGGAGGGAAAAAAAAACGGAGGGCGCGGAGAAAAAATTCCACGCGAAAAAAAAATATACGTCGGGATCGGGACCGAACATACGACCTCCTGTATCCCACGCGAGGTAGTTAACATCTCGGCACCGTGCCAGAGCCGCGATGGGCGCGAGTGCGGTGCGCGGGGGAAACCGACCGATGCACTCGCGGTGCCCGTCGGCGCCGCCCAGCGCCCACGTGCGGTACCAGCGCCAGGATCTCCTTGAGCGTGAAGACGAGGCAGGGCAGCAGGCTCGGGTACTGGCTGCTCCCCACCAGGCCCTGCGCACGTCACAGCCGGGGGGACACACAGGGAGGGGAGCGGGGGGGGGGAGGAGGTCACACGTTGGGGGGGGGGCGAGGGCACAAGAGGGGCGCGGTGATAGGGGAGCGGTGGGAGGGGAGCGGTGGGAGGGGAGCGGTGGGAGGGGAGCGGTGGGAGGGGCGCGGTGGGAGGGGAGCGGTGGGAGGGGAGCTGTGGGAGGGGAGCGGTGGGAGGGGAGCGGTGGGAGGGGAGCGATGGGAGGGGAGCGGTGGGAAGGGAGCGGTGGGAGGGGAGCGGTGGGAGGGGAGCGGTGGGAGGGGCGCGGTGGGAGGGGAGCGGTGGGAGGGGAGAGATGGGAGGGGAGCGGTGGGAGGGGAGCGGTGGGAGGGGCGCGGTGGGAGGGGAGCGGTGGGAGGGGAGCGGTGGGAGGGGAGCGATGGGAGGGGAGCGGTGGGCGAGGAGCGGTGGGAGGGGAGCGGTGGGAGGGGAGCGGTGGGAGGGGAGCGGTGGGAGGGGAGCGGTGGGAGGGGAGCGGTGGGCGAGGAGCGGTGAGAGGGGAGCGGTGGGAGGGGAGCGGTGGGAGGGGAGCGGTGGGAGGGGAGCGGTGAGGGGGGAGCAGGGCGAGTCAGGGGAGCAGGCTGTCAGTAGCGAGCGGGAGGGATGGTGGTGGCGTGACCTTCAGGAGGGCGGTGACGAGACGGAGGTACGACGCCGTCACGCGGAAATCGCCCCGGTGCCTCTCGAAGCCGACGAGCAGATTCCCGTAGTTTCCCGCGTGCATGCCCTCCCCGCTGAGTCGCACAGACGAAGGCAACGCAGATCCCCCCAAAAATACGTCAGGGTCGGGATCGAACATACGAACTCCTGTATACCGGGCGAGGTAGTTAACATCTCTCCACCGTGCCAGAGCCGCGATGGGCGCGAGTGCTGTGCGCCCAGCGCCCACGTGCGGTAGACTGTTGCAGCAAGTGCCCTTACCCAGGTGTGACCTATTACACCTGAGTAGCACGCTTGACCGCCTTTGTCTCCCCAGCGCTGATGTTTACCGCCCAGCATCAGGCGCTCGGACGTACGTTGTCGCCGTGAATTTAACCCGGGGGGACTGGGATTGTACCGCGGTGTGCTAACCACTGCGCTACCTCTCCCCAACAATAACAACAACAGCCGCCATTCGCCACGTAAGCAGCGGTGACGTCACCACCGCGCCCAGATGCACTCCGAGGTGCTATGGGAGGAGTGTAGAGGGCTCGCTGACAAGTCACGGGACTGACCCAGGTGTTATGGGTAAACTGACCGAGATCACCGACTGCTCCCTCCAAAGACAAAAATCCCCGGGATAGCCTTAACAGATTGTTGGGGCAAGTGCTGTTAGCGAGTAGCACCTATAAAGGCTGGCACGGCACACGAGGGGGTGGGTGGCCAGCACCAAGCCCGGCCGCTTTTGTCTCCCCAAGTGGCGATGTTTATGCACCACATCAGGTACTCATTTGAGGCTGAGTCGACCTCGGAAAGGCCCAAGACCGGTTTAAATAATCGTCAAAGGATTTTGGCCCCGAGTGGGTATCGAACTCAGGTGGCCGGGTTCGTAGCACAGCACGCGAACCGCTAACCACATACACGAGTACACATGTGCACACTCTGAGCTTGCCAGGCAGCCATCCGTCCGTCATTCACACATCCACCGCTCTCTGCGGGACCCTGCCGACACCACTGCACTACGGTGGCCTGTTTTACAGCCGAGAAGGTTAAAAGATTTTGATTTAAAGCTTTCGTGATTGCAGGGATTCATATTCTTGGTTCTTTCGGTAAAGTCACGTAGAAGGATGGACTCGTCCATCTGAACTGCCAAAATCGCTGTCCGTGGTGCTAACGTTAAGAAAAAAACGCCACTTTTTTCAAATTTTCTTGCCGTGTTTTTTCACACCTGCTTGTGTTGCATTCGAAACGTCGTGACAATTTCATTGTTTTAAATTTGCATTATTTTACTGTTTCCCTTCTAAGTGACTTTACCGTAAGAACCAAGAATAAGGTTAAAAAACATAGACGAATAGAGATTTAATTGAGAAAAAAAAAACCCACACGTGGCAATATCGTCCCTCCTATAAGACTAATGCCGGGAAGCAGACCGGTGGCTGCGTACACCTTGAGCCACGCAGCGACAGCTGCTGCTAGGGGTCCCCTTGACTAGACCCAAGCGGGACACTGTAATTGGGTTGCGCCGAGACGTGATGAAACGTGCTTTGTGTGTTGCCGAAGAGGAACGGAGTGCGAGAGGCACGACGGAGAGGGTACCTGGCTGCCCGTGCGGCGTTGCTCACGGGGGACACGGTGAAGGGAAGGAGCCCCGTGTGCTGCACGTCGCTCCACACCTGCGCCGAGGCCACCGCACCACGGGACACAGGTTGACGACGTTACGGCAAGTGTCCCACGTTTTACGACCTCCGTTCGGAACCAGATGGGTCATTCATAATGGTTTTTGGGTTAGATCACGTTATTTATGTGTCGTAACCCTCCACCACCCGACACGGCCAAACAGTAAAAAATGTGTCACGTTTGGCCTTTATTATGAAGAATATTGGTCGCGAAAGCCTACGTGTGTTAAACAGAGGGCTCATGTTTCACAATAGTTTTACGATCCCCGTAAGGTCGAGAGGGGCCCACGTTTCATGACCTCCGTTACGGTAAGAGGGCCCACATTTCACAATCTCCGTTAGGGCCAGAAGGCCCACGTTTCACAGTCTCAATTAGAGCAATAGGGCCCACGTTACACATTCTCCGTGAGGACAAGAGAGCCCATACTCTTTGGTTCTTTCGGTAAAGTCACGTAGGTATTTTATTTTATACCTACGTGACTTTACCGAAAGAACCAAAGAGTATGGATTTCCTGCAGTCACGAAAGCTTCAAATCAAGAGGGCCCATGTTTCACTTTGTCCGTGAGGGCCAGAAGGCCCATGTTTCACGAACTCCGTTAGCGCCAAAAGGCCCACGTTTCACCAACTCCATTACAGGAAGAGGGCCCACGTTTAACGAACTCCATTAAGGCCAGAGGGCCCACGTTTCACGAACTCCGTGAGGGCCAGAGGGCCCACGTTTCATGAGCGGCGCACACACCTTGGCGGCACCATAAGGCACGAGCGCCGCCAGGCAGTTCACGCACGCCGCGATGACGTCGAGCGGCGGGCTGGGTACACACGTGAGCCTGCGCGCATGGAGGAGACATGGGGACACGGGGGTACACGAACACGCACTCAAAAATAACAATTTTCTCGATACGATACGTAAAATTTTCACAATGTGATGACGATTATCGCGATGTCGATTGTACCGAGTGTGTTTGTCGTCCTGTGTTTGGTGCTTTGCTGCACACGTTCAGTACGAAGGCAGATGAAGAGCCTTTAACTACAGCTCACCCAGGATAAGTCAGTCGTCTGCTCACCATGCCGTTAAAATCTATACACAGCTCTTATCACGCGTATGCTGTCAGTCGCACAATACGTGATTACAGAATAACAATTTCATTTTATATAGCGTCATAATTACATCCCACAACGCTGCACATTAATAATATACGAGTGATATTCTTAGGTGTTTTCGGTAAAGTCACGTAGGTAAAACATCAAAATTTATAAAAATAATAAAATAAAATAAAGATCACGACGTTTCGGAGGCAACACAAGTCTCCGTCATCAGGTGGGACAGTCACAGCCAGATTAGCTGCATCAAGTGAGGCAATGATTCAAGATGTAATCCCTTAAAAGCGAGTTGAGGGGGGAGGAGAGGGGGGGGGGGGCTCATCAGAATGTGGTAGCCAATGAATGGAAAGTATCAGGAGAGAGGGGCCAAAAAAGGGTGGGCGACGGCGTGGAAGCTATTGTGCGCAAGCGACACACTGCTGCCCACGCCAACGCATTGGACAGAGAGGGGGGGGAGGGGGAGGTCTGATACACATGATAGAAAAGAAAAGAAAATGCGTACGTTTATACCAATGCTGGCTGAACAATGAAGAGATTACTGTTAAACACTGGGGATGTTAACACTCGGTCAAGTAAAGTAAACTAGTGCCTGTCAGATAAGATGGTCAAAAAAGTGTAATTAAGTCTTTTTTGCGTGGTTAATAACATCTTTCCATGTGTATCAGACCTCCCCCTCCCCCCCTCTCTGTCCAATGCGTTGGCGTGGGCAGCAGTGTGTCGCTTGCGCACAATAGCTTCCACGCCGTCGCCCACCCTTTTTTGGCCCCTCTCTCCCGATACTTTCCATTCATTGGCTACCACATTCTGATGAGCCCCCCCCCTCTCCTCCCCCCTCAACTCGCTTTTAAGGGATTACATCTTGAATCATTGCCTCACTTGATGCAGCTAATCTGGCTGTGACTGTCCCACCTGATGACGGAGACTTGTGTTGCCTCCGAAACGTCGTGATCTTTATTTTATTTTATTATTTTTATTAATTTTGATGTTTTACCTACGTAACTTTACCGAAAACAACTAAGAATATGATTCCTTGCAGTCACGAAAGCTTCAAGTCTAGAAATATATACGAGTGCCAAATCCTATTTCTTACAACGACTACGGAGCAAAATGAAAACCCTCTGATAATAAAAATGAATAAACAAATGGAGAAATGGCACGAAAATAAAAGGAGCACGAACGCACAACAATAAAATAAAAGGTTATAACAGAGAGACGAGTCAATTAGGTCTCCACAACCTAGACCAGAGTCCCGGCTTCGCAGGTGGGGAAGTGGTCAAAAAATCTATGACTAAGTTTCGATTTAAAGCTTTCGTGACTGCAGGGATTCATCTTCTTGGTTCTTTCGGGAAAGTCACGTAGAAGGGAAATAATAAAATAAATGTTTTTTGATTATTTTCCTTCTACGTTACTTTACCGAAAGAACCAAGAAGAAATGATGACTAATTTAGACAAATTGGTGAAATGTCTGAAATGTGAATCTTGACTTAAAGCTTTCGTTCGGTAGTCACATAAATAGGTTAAAAAATAATAAAATAAACAAAAAACTACGACGTTACGACCGCAACACAAGCCATCGTCATGATGACGATAATGACAATTGCTTGCGTTGCAATCGAAACGTCGTAGTTTCTTAGTTGATTTTTATTTTTTTTGCCTATCTATGTGACTTTAGTACCAAAGAATACGTCTAAAATGTGATTTGCTATTTATCAGCATTATTGAAAACTCATTTCTTCAGAATAGCTTTTTGTGTTCAGTTTGTTGTCCTTCCCGGCACCTCGGACAAACACGGCTGGCTACGTACATCACAAAAATATTTCAACCTAAAAACATAGCCTGGCACAAAGCGCTGCTGTGGTGACGTCCACCGCCACTTAAGCGGTGAATGGTGGCTGCAGTTATCGTCGTCGTCGTCCGCAGGAGGCGTCCTCACCTCTGCAGCACCATGTAGAGGCGGGAGGTGACGGGAAGCAGCGGCGCGGCGAGCGAGCCGTCGGCGTCCAGCAGCTGCCGCACCAGCTGCACGATGGGACGCACGCGCTCGCAGTGCCGCGCCACGTCTGCACAAGTCGCGAGCCCACCAAAGACAAAGATCCCCCGTGTAACAGAGGTCGCAAACGGGTTTTGATTCCTTACCCGTACCCGTACCCGGCCGCACAAGGGTCGCAAATGGGTACCCGTACCCGGCCGGGTACGGGTACCCGTTCCCTACCCGTACCCGTACCCTACCGGAAATGAGTGACAAACGGTTACTCACCAGTGACTCACGGCCTACCCGTACCCGGCTGCACCAGGGTCGCAAACGGCTACCCGTACCCGGCCGGGTACGGGTTGCAAACGGCTACCCATACCTGACCGGGTACGGGTAGCCGGGTATCGAGTAGGGTATCGGGTACCCGGTTGCGACCTCTGCCGTGTAAGCCTTAACAGACCGTCAGGGCGAGAGCTGTTAGCGAGCAGCGCCCGTCAAGGCCGACGACGGCTCGCCCGGTTCGCTTTGGTCTCCCCAGTGGCGATGTTTATACACCGCATCAGGTACTCACTTGAGGCTGAGTCGACCTAGAGGAGGCCCAGGACGGGTTCGGATAATCGTCACTAACCGCTACGCAACCAGCTCCCCACCACCACCACCACCACATCTGTCATCGGTATAACACCCCCATTCTCCCAATTATAATTTGCATATATTTCGGAATTATTATACAGTAGATGATGTTGGGGGTCTGTTGGCTTATGATCTGGAGTGTGGCCTGAAAGCCGGCACAAGCAAATGTCAATTACAATCCAATCTATGGCTCTCAGTCTGTACACACTCAGTAAATATTAGGGCTGAACGATTTGACAGATATTGCGATTTGATTTGCGATTAAATTGTTTTAAAGTCAAGCTTCAGTTCAATATTCACTGTGTAATAGATTTAAAACATGTGATGGAGCATTACCACATGATACCATCGAAATATGAACTGCTTCCAACATGTATTTATTAAAATGTTTTAATTGAAATAGAACAATCAAACATTGGGGGTTTAGCAGGAATGTATTCACGCAAATGTCCAGTAACATTCTCATGCGCGTTCAACTTCTTTCGCACTGTACGTATCCAACCGTGCTAATCGGAGGTGCGGGGGGGGGGAAGGACAACAAACTAAACACAAAAAGCTGACCTCCAATTCCGGCAAACTCGAGGTTTCATTGCATATAAATGGCATGGGATCGGCACCAGCTGTAGCCAAGCCCTTCCAATCCGCCACGCCGACAGAGGAGGATGATCACTCACCGGCGGTGGACACCACGTGCAGCAGCATCTCCACCTCGCAGGCGAACAGCGCCCACGCGCTGTAGCCAAACTCCCAGTGCACCAGGGCGGAGGGGCCGCCCGGCACGGTTGGGCCCAGGGGCAGCACGCGTCCCACCACGCCCTGCGGCAGCCGCATGGTGGTCCTCCCCGCGCCTACGCAACGGTACACCGCGTCGTCAGCGCTTCAACACGTTGGCCTTACGGAATATGTATTCATTGATACTGGAGGAATCCGATGAGCTATTAAGACAACTATGGCCTTACCGTGCCACCTCCACCATCATCAATAAATGGATGGTCTGATCGCAGCACCACCACCACCACCATTACCACCAAACATGGTCTAACCACACCACCACCAAACATGGTCTAACCACTCCACCACCACCACCTTCACCACAAAACATGGTCTAACAGCTCCACAACATGACCCAGCCAACGCAGCCATCCCTGCCGGAGGAGCTCACCGATGGGACTTTGTCCAGATCTTTCACCACTACACCACCACACCACCACGTCCAGGTGTCTCAGTAAGGGGGGGGGGGGGGGGTCCAGAGTGCTCACCGAACGGGTAGAGGTGCCTGGGTGCCGTCGTTCTCCACATGGTTCCGTCTTCGGACGCCTCGATGTCGCGTGGCCTCTGCGGCACGGCCTCGGCGTAGCAAGTCATCTTGTCCAGGAAGTTGTAGACCTGCGTGCAGGGCAACGTCGCGCCGTGGTCGGCGAGATGTCAACTACCTCGCCTCGTATGCAGGTGGTCGCTTTCAGATGCTCTTCTGTGGCCGTCTGGAACGCACTCTTCCTTCCGATATTAGGAAGCCACTGGAGCTACGCATTTTTAAATCATCTAGATTGAACACTCATTTCTTTATAATTGCTTCTTGTGTCCTTGCCCACGCATCTACGCTCAGCAGGGTTGCCTACGTATGATGCAAAATGAAGTTGAACATAGATACATACAAAGCCATGAACAACAATTACCCGGATTCACCCCTCCAATGCCAAAGACATGAACAAACTATCGCTATCTGTCAGTAAAAGTAATCATGTTTTCAATGCGTGAATTCACACATACAACGCAGATCGTTACAGGCCTCGCTCACACCCACCCACCCGCTTGGCCGTGGCCTGGCTGACCACGGTGGCCGTGAGCAGCTGCAGCAGCGGCGCGCACGCGTACGGGAACTGCGCCGCAGCCGAGTCCAGCAGCATGGCCAGACCTCCCGCCAGGCCCTGAGAAGCAGCACGGCAAGGATGTAACCACGGCAGGACAGCGCCACGGTAGGACAATAACAACGGTAAGACAACACCGTGGCAGGGCAACACCATGGCAAGACAACACCACAGTGAAGACAGTAAGGCAAGACAACCCCAGGGCAACATAAGACCACGGCAAAGGCAATACAATCGTAATGCAATAGTACGGAAGGACAATTTAGCACGGCTATCATGTTGCTATACTGCGGTGTGGCAACCTATCGCACTGCATGCTGGTGTGGGTGTATATGGTGGTACAGGGTGGTGCGGTGTGGTTATGTAGGCTCGAGTGAGTGCGTAACGTGAGTATGGAGAGTGTGGCTGCCGTAGGGGGCAGTGGGGCACTCACAGCGTCCCAGAAGGCCTCGGCGAGAGCAGGCATGCTCAGCACCTCGCACGCCACGTCCATCAAGTCCTGCGAGCAACAAGGAACATCATTCTGGTAGGTGGCTGGGTGGCTCAGAGGTCAGAGACACTGAGCTGTGACTCAGGGGTCAGAGACACTGAGCTGTGGGTCAGAGACGCTGAGCTGTGGGTCAGGGGTCAGAGACACTGAGCTGTGGGTCAGAGGTCAGAGACACTGAGGTGTGGGTCAGAGACACTGAGCTGTGGCTCAGGGTTCAGAGACACTGAGCTAGAGGTCAGGGGTCAGAGACACTGAGCTAGAGGTCAGAGGTCAGAGACACTGGGCTGTGGACCCGTGCGTGTGTGCGCGCGTTTGCAGAGTGGCGCTCCTCACCTGGGGCTCTCCTAGCGTGCCCTCGTCGAAGAGGCCGAGCACGAAGGACAGCAGGCCGTAGACGACCGCGCGCGCTGTGCTGGACGTGCACTGCGCGCGGGACAGACAGAGACAGACAGCCGGCGGTGATTCTCGCCGCTCGCACCATCGCAGCCGTTAACCCTTTGCATCGTTCCGAGACGTTCGCGAGTCGCGGGGAGTCATCGTTCACCGCCGAATCTCACGAACGTGCGAGCGGCGGCTCGGCCGTTGGTTTTATTTAGAGAGGCGCGGTCGTTGGCGTCGTTGTTTTCAAAGACGTCGCTGATCGCAGTAGAGAACCGCAGCGGCACGACCGCCGCACTCTACGATTGCCGGCACCAACACTGCGCCACGGCCTTGTCGGGGAGCCTCGGTAGAGATGAAGTTGTTCCAATGAAAATTTTCTTTCCGAATCAGAATTAAAAACTGATGATGTACATCATCGGAATGGGAAAAGGTTAACAGCGCGTCGTCCCGAATTCCGTGTTAACTCGGGGGAGAAGAGTGCACCGGTATATCCATTTAAATAACTAAACCCCACGCCCTCCAAATTTATCTTCCTTGAAGAGTGAATGTATCCCTGTTTACACCTGATCTCACTTCTCTCATCTCTCACTACTTGCTCCATTGCATCCTCCACGCTCCAAGTCTCCACCGTCGCTCTCCGTGTGCCTCCCTCGCCACCCTGCGCCCAGTCTCGCTCTCTCGCTCCTTCTCCCATCTCGCTCCCCTCCACTGAACAAACTCCCCCTGCAGCACACAGAGCAACCATCTTCGCTAACTTGCTTCTGTTCCTCCGTTACATGAATTCCCATATCTTCTCCCCTTGCCCAACCTACTCCTGCTACTCCCTAACCCCCCCCCTTAGTTACAAGCACCCTTCCCCCAACCGCTACCACTACCCCCACTGCTAACTCCCTGCCCACGCCCGCCAGCTACGACAAGGCCTACCTCAACGGCTACCCCTATCACTATCCTCACCCCTATCACATCCATATCACTACCCCAACCCGTATCACTACCCCAACACCCCTCCGTAACCACTCCCACCTGTCCTCCTGTCACCATAACTACAACCCCACTCTGTATCTCAACCACTACGATCTCACGCGCTACAACGGCGCCGCTACGTAAATCGACACAAGACAGGAAGACGACAGAGAGTGCGCGGTGCTCACGCTGCTGCCGCTGAAGCCGGGCGCCCGCAGCAGGCGGCACACGAGGCGGAACGCCTGCAGCTGCACGGCGGAGCGGCCCAGGCGGCGGGTCGCTGACTTGGGGTCGTCCGGCAGCGCCTTGTAGCGCAGCATGGCCCACGCGAGCAGCACGGGGCCGTGAATCTCCAGGTCGCCGAGGCTCTGCAGCAGCTGGTCCAGCTCCTGGCAGCCACGGAGCCCACGGCAGCAATGGCGTCATCGGCGTCGTCATTATTAGCACTTCCACCGCGACCATTATTCACAGCAATGCGGCAAGTCCTCGTTTAACTCGGCACCACCACTTTCAAGTGCTGTTTGCGAGCACCTATGAAGGCCGGAATGGGGTAGGTGGCCATAACCATGCACGGCCGCCTTTGTCTCCCCAATAGCGATGCGTATACCATGCACCAGGTACGCATTTGAGGCCGAGTCGATCTAGGGAAGGCCCAGGACCGGTTTAAACAATCGTCACTGGTGTTAACCATGAGTGGGAATCGAACTCGTGTCTCTGGGTTCGTACTGGTGCACTACCGCATGCACAAAGACACTGTTGGAGCAAGTGCTGTTAGCGAGTAGCGCCTGCGGCCGAGAAGACCCGGAGCTTTGTGTGGAGCGACAGGCCAGGCAGCTTCCACAGAGCGTTAAGCAGCTGCTGAAAAGATAAATGCCGCTCTAACCGATTTGGAGCGAGACCTCTGCTGCCAAACCGGAAATAGTCATTCACACACTGCTCAGATATAGGAACTCCTCCACTCTCTTAAAGAGCAGGACCACACAATAGAACAAGACAAAGAGCCCCCGTGTAGCCTCAACAAACTGTAGGGGCAAGTTTCCGCTACCATCATTAATCAAATTACAGAAAGTCATCATTTTACGCTGCACCACCAACTATCAAGCGGTGTGAGCGAGTAGCGCCGATAAAGGCCGGCAACAGCACCACACCCGGCCGACTTTGTCTCCCAAACGGCGATGTTTACACACCGCACCATGGTACTCATTTAAGGCCGAGTCGACCTAGGGGAGGCCCAGGACCACCACTATCAATAACTTCACCACCATCGACATCGGCACCACCGCCGCCGCCGCGCCTCACCTTGAACACGGCCTCGTCCTTGACCAGTTGGTGCTGCTCCACGCAGTCGCCCTGCGCGCACTTGGCCAGGAACTCGATGTCCATGCCCTCGATGAGAAGAAAGCGCACAGAAGTACCTGTCAACACACGGGGGGGGGGGGACACAAGGCCATCAAGCACCGAGTGTGGGCACAAGTGTGCATGCGTGTGTGGAAAGCAGGAGTGTAGTCGCTAGCGCGCTGTGCTACGTGTGTATATATATATATATACACTAGCTTTACTACCCGGCTTCGCCCGGGACTTGGATTCACCACGCCCCGGCCGCCTTTGTCCCCCCAGTGCCGATGTTCACACACCACAGCATTACTCGTTTGAGGCTAAGTCGACCTAGTGGAGGCCCAGGAGCGGTTAAAATAATCGTCACTGGTGGTGGCCGTGAGCGGGAATCGAACTCGGATCGCCGGGTTCGTAGCGCGGCGCGCTAACACATACACTACAATGCGTTACGCTTCCACATGCGCGGGTCACATGACAGATTTGACGTCACAGCTTACTTGCCGTGCAAAAACTATATGCATTATTGAGCTCCCCCCCCCCCCCAAAAAAAAAAAGTGTATTTTTATAATTTTGCATGGTGTACAGTCTGGGAAAGTACCCACATGGCAAATTTCCAGTTTGTTGCATGTCGGGAAGTACGCTAAACATTTTCAACAGACACACATATTCACAACGTTGCCTTTTATATATATGGAGATGTAGAACTTCTTTTGCACCGTACCTAGCCAACCGTGCTCAACGGAGGGGCTTCCAACCCGTGCAACCGCGAGCGATACCCGCTCACGGCCAACATCGGTGACGAATATCTGAACCCGTTCTGAGCCTTCCCCCTTGGTCGACTTGGCCTCAAATAATAAACATTGCCACTGGGGAGACAAAGGCAGCCTGCCGGCCGTGGTGGTGCCAGCCACCCAAACCCCTCGTTCGCCGTGTGAGCCTTCGTAGGTGCTGCTCACGAACACACACAGACACGGGGTGGAGCGGCGTGCCACTGCGCACACACACAGACACGCACAGAGTTGACCACTGACCCGACGCGGCTGACGAGCATGGCGCTGCCCTCGTGCGGCGCCTCCAGCCCCTGTAGCTGGCGCAGGCCGAAACTCTGCGCATGGAAGAGGCGCGCGAGGCGGAGCAGCGCGTGCGGCTTCATCTCGAAGTAGACGTAGTAGAGGAAGAGCAGCTCCAGCAGCAGGCACTGCTCGCGCAGGCACTGCTGCGCCCAGCACGCCGCCTGCCGCTCCGCCTGCACGAGCGCCGACAACAGGGTGAGGCCACCCACCCTTCCCTTCGATGCCCACCGGAAGAGAATCTCGCAACCACTGCCGATCCACCAACCCTCGGTGCCTCCGGTTCCGGATTGCGGGCAGCCACGTGCAGCGTCGCCAACCGCCGCCCGGCACGGCTTCCGCCGTGGAAGTTCAATAACCCTGGCAGCTCCCGAGGGGCGCTGGGCGGGCTCGGCAAACGGTGCCGGGCTGGCTCAGTGGCGAGATGTTAACTCCCTCGCCTGGTATGCAGCGGATTGTGCGTTCGATCCCGACCCCGACGCCGATATACGTGGAGTTTGCATGCCAATACCCCGGGTCCTCCGGTTTTTAGCCCCGACGTTCAGAATCAACAACACGCGTTTATAGAGAGTATTTGGCCGCTATAATTTTTCACACGTCGATAAGCCACTTCGCTGAGCTACCATTTGTGATAGCCAAGGGTCGCTCCCTGAAAAAGAGCTACGTAGGCTCAGTGGGGCCTTTACTGGTAAAATAAATAACAAAATTACAGTTTAAAGTACGGTGGTGGAAATCGAGTCGCGGTCATACATCCCCCAAAACCCACCATGTTCCGTGGAATGGCAGAGCGACGAGGGGAGCCGAGTCGCTCCTCCAGCTGCTCCACGTGGCGCGAGGTGAGGCTCTGCTGCAGGCGCTCCAGGCAGTCGGCGTACACGGCCTGCGGCGCCCGTGACACCAAACAACATCAAACAACAACACCACAACATCAACACAACACACAACACAACACACACAGCGTCCAACCATATGTCGTCGTCATCCATCCGGTCTATCCGCTGCTGGGTGATCACACAAACAACGGGCAGCTCTCACGATTTCGCAGAT